TGCAGATGTACCTGCCGGAGTCAAACGTCGTCACATAATGAATCCGCAAGGTGTTCTCCTCGTCCACCTCGTGCCTGGGCGTGTGAGACAGAACAGCTGCTGTGAGCTGCATGGAACAGGGACTGGCGGCCACTCGGTGTTTGTGCCAAGCCCTGTCCTGGCTGGCCTGTAGGCCCCATCGTTATGCACATGACTCATAATAACAACAATAAACCATGGGTGAGCGGGACATGGGCAGCCGGAGCCTGGGATTTTGCATTTGCAGCAACCACTGAACATGGTTCCCTCTGCCTCATCAGAGCCAGTGGAGCTGCTATTCCAAGGGGTGGGAATTGCTCATGCTCATGACCAGTAACAATGCCAGGCTGTACCCCGCTCTGCCCACCTCCAGGAGAACAGGAACAGGTGACAGGCTGGGTTTGCCTCCATTGATCCCTCCAGGTGCTGGATCGAACAGGCACAGTTCCCCCTCTCCCCCGCGGCCTTAAGTGAGCCTGGCATCCTCTACCTACCTTGCAGCAATGGGCTATGGGAATTACTCAGAGCTTGGAGTGCTGGGTATTCGGATACCCGCCCTGCTAGCTGGGGGGTCAGCGCCAAAGTTCAGAAGCCTCCGAATATACATCACATACCTGCCCCAGGGCAGCTCTCCGTGCTCCTTGTGCCACCATACTTTGGGCAGTGGGTCCCCCTCAACACCACACCCCAGCTGGACGGTGCTGCCAAATTTGGCCACAATATCACTGGGTCTGCGAGTGAACGTTGGCTTTTCTGGGGAGGGAGAAGCAGAGATCTCAGTGACACGTCCCCGCTCTGCTGGGAGATGGAGCTCTGGGCTGTGAGAATTAGAGTCAGTGACACATGTTACAGGATCCAAGCCCCACAACCTCCTGTGCCCCCAGGAGGTCTCCACCCCCTACCACAGTGGTCCTCAAACTTTTGAGGGTCATGCCCTCCCTTACCCCTGACTGTGCCCCCTCCCCTCCCAGAGCTGGGGCCGGGAGTGGCTCGGGGAGGGAGGGGGGCAGGGATGTGGACAGGGGTAAAGAGGCCGAGGCTGGAGCTGCAACTAGGGCTGGGTGGGGCTGGGAGTGGGGCCGGGAATGGAGTCGCAGCCAGGGGCTGAGGCAGAGGGTGGGGGCGGGGCAGGGCTGGGAGCAGAGCAGCAGCTGGGCCATGCAGGGGGCAGGCAGCCGGGCCCCTGGCCAAGTTCTGAGCCGTGCCAAGGCAGGGGATGGGACCAGGTGCGGGGCCGGGAGCCAAGGCTATGGCTGGGGATGGGGCCAGACCAGAGCTGGGGGGGGTGGGCACTCCCTCCCCGCCCCCTGTGGGGACTGGCCCAGACCCACCATGCCCCTCCCCCATGTTCCTCCATGCCACCCTAGGGGGGAGTACCTCTGCCCTACCAGCATGTGCAGCCCTCAGGGAATAAGGTCAGAAAGGGGAAGGACGTGGCTCTCAACAGCCATTGCCTGCACTGGGGGTGTTGCGATAACTGGATCTATAAATGTATCCTTACTGTGAGCACAACTGTGAAAAGCAGTGAAAGTTCCTAGATGCTACAGTAACTTGTAACAACAAATGTTGGAGGGAAAAGCTGCCAAAGGGAGACCGAGACTGAATGTGTCAAACGAAAAGGCCCCTGATATAATGCTAGCACCCACTGTCCACAGAACCCACATCTCTAACATGACAACCCCAACCTCAGCCACACTGCTTTCCACACTGAATGTGCCAAATCTATGTACCCCTGTCAGCCTACCTCTAACCATTACCTCACAGGCCCCTCTCAGAGCCAGGATTCCTGAGCTCCACTATTCTATTGCTGTCTAACAAATAGTTGTGTGACCCATTGAGATAGTGTGTGCCAAGCCCCCGTCTAGCAGCAGGTCCACAGGGCACATGGCAATTGCTGCTGTAGCACCCAGGTTGGGGTCAGTCCCTGCTGGTGACCCACGGTGGGGGGTGTGTGTGTGTGTTACTACTGTATGTGATATGCTTTGGCTTTCTCGTTTAGTTCACTGAGGGAGGAAACATCCTTTAAAATGGGGTTCATAGTTTAAAACACAGCATGTCAATTATGGTGTGCCAGAATTTCAATCATTTCTCTCCTATTTGATTGCCCGTTGCCAGGGCAGAAGGTGTGTGTGTGTGGGCACTGGGAGAGGCTGGCTTGACTCAAGCCCTGTCCACACTGCTGTTTGTAAGCTTGGAGGAAGGGATAACTCAATGGTTTGAGCATTGGCCTGCTAAAACCAGGATTGTGAGTTCAATCCTTGAGGGGGCCATTTAGGGATCTGGGATAAAAATCTGTCTGGGGATTGGTCCTGCTTTGAGCAGGGGGTTGGACTAGATGACCTCCTGAGGTCCCTTCCCACCCTGATCTTCTATGATTCTAAATGGTTTCCCATGTGGCTGAACTGGGAGGAAGTGACGCAGCAATTCTGAGAGGTTGGAGTTCAAAGGGAGCCATCTCCTGGACATCTGCAGCTAAGGCTGGGACGTGTCTCCAGGAAAAGCAATGTGGGAGAGACGCCAGCCCAGTGAGTCTCTAAACCATGCACTGGCTTGTGGTCCGACATGGTTGTCACAAGAGTCCTGCAGCTTGAGTCAGGCCCAGGGACTGGTTTTGGAAGCCTCTGATATTCTCCAGGACTCGGGGTGCAGGCTCCAAACCAGGAGCCATGGAGTGAAGCTGCAAATGGAGCAAGCTCCCAGGGAGAGACCCGTGTGTTCAGAGGGGCCAGGCTGCCCCCAAGAAGGACTCCCGAAGGATGGAGACATTCCAGGTCAAGGAGGCTGGGCACCAAGGAGGGGCCTCAGGGCCGCCTGCTCTCCCAGCACATCCTGGCCATTATGGCAGAGATCACCTGGCTAGGAATCTCCTCCCCCAAGGGGAACGGCCCTTTCCATGCAGGGAGCCAGGGTAGCCAGGGATTCCCGGCAGCCGGCAGCACTCCTGAGCGCTTGGCTTCAGAAGCTCCAGGGAGCGTCGCCTGGGTCCCAGCCAGCCTGAACTGGTCCCCTCGCCCTGGGGAGCAGGATGCCTTGGGTACTGTCATCAAACCTGCTGCTGCCTTGTGAGGGGGAGCTGCTGTTATGGTCTAGGAGAACCAGCCCCTCTCATGCGTGCCAGCCTGCTATTAATGCCCCTCAGATGGTGACCGCACTGGGCATCCTGGGCACAGGCCATATGGGTTCTATCAGTGGTCTCATTGGTCACCTGGCTGGTTTTCTGGCACCCCCGTGTGACAAAGTGGGGATTTTTCCTAATGTTTTGTCTGAATACTGTGTGTGCCTCAGTTTCCCCTATGTGCTGCATGGTTAACTAGGTGGGAAGGAAAGGTTGTTTACTCTTTGCAGAGATCCAGGTGAGACCGACCCTGGCTGTCTGGGGCCTGGGCCCAGGGGAAGTCCCTGAAGACAGTGACCACTGGAATTCCCTGGACATTTGGCACCTAGCAACTAACGACTACGGATGGCCCAACCTCCTTAGGAAGCCAGTCAGGTGTGACCAGCTGGAGAACAAAGGGCTAAGGGGGAGGCCAGATGACTGTGTTTGCCTGGGAACAAGGGCAAAGGACTGAGGAGGGGCCAGGTGGAGTTGTTAAGGGTGGGCTGCTGGAAGTGTGTGATGGGGAGTCACTTCTGGACTGGTACTACAGAGCCTCAGAGGGGCTCTGGACTCTGCACTGACCCAGCTGGACTTTGCTGTAACTTCCCATTCACTATGTTAACTAAGGATGTCCTGCACTCTGTTCCTGCTGTCACACTGGCTGGGAGTCACTCGAGTCAGGAAGCTGAGGGTGCATTGCTTCCTTTGGGTGTGCAAGTCCTACTCAGGTGGACTGGCTGCAGTTTGCTCACGGCGTGAAGCCGGGGGGCTGAAGGCTCTGAGGTTCGGTCCCAGGAGGCAGGGAAGCCAAGGGGCTTACCCCAGTGAGAGAGTGACCCGAAGGGGGCTGACGCACTGAAGGGGTCCTCTCAGGGAGTGTCCCAGAGCTGTGGGTCTGTGATGCCACGGCAGCTACTTGGCTATCAGCCGGGCGCCAGGCCCAGTGGGCAAGGCCCAAGGAGGGGACTGTCTCCTCACCCAGGACAGACACCAGGGCAGCTTTGCTCTCTCGTTGGCCTGCCTGGTTGGAAGCCACACACACATACATCCCCGCATCACTCCTCTGGGCGTGCACCATCAGGAGCTTCCCGCTGGAGACCTGCAAGGAGGGAGAGAGGGAGTCAGGGCCCCACGTGTCGCCCCAGCCAGAGCCAGCCCCAGTGCAGGAACTCAGCATCTGGGGGGAGCTTAGCTTGTGCCCCCACGTACTGGGCCAGCAGCAGGAATGGCAGCACCCCACCAAGTCCAGAACAACAGAGGGACGGCTGAAAGCGAGAGAGTGAGAGAGCGCGTATTTGGGCTACAGAGCGACAGACTTGACTACCCACATGGGGCTGAGGTAGCGCTGTCCCAGCCCTGGGAAGAGGGAGCCAAAGCGGCTCTGTTTGAACTCTGGGACAGGAAGCCGGTGGCCAAGGCAGCTCTGTCCCAGCCCGAGGGCCAGGGGCCAAAGCCGGTCTGTTCGAACCCTGGGACTAGGAGCTGGGGGCTGAGGCGGCTCCCCGCGTCTGCAGGCAGCAAACGCCATGAGGCTTGGTGCTCTAGCATGCAACCAAGCCCCCTGCTCGGTCCTGGAGGTGGGAAAAGCCAGGGCAGGGTAGTGTGTGAGGAGGGGGGAGAGGACCGAGCTTACCTCATAATGGCCAGCCTTCTGGCTTATGGGGACCCCGTCCTTCTTCCAGGAGATGGTGGGCTCGGGATGCCCCCTCGGGGGTGCACACTCTAACAGCACCTGCTCCCCCACCGTCACCAGCAGGTTGCTGGGCTGCAGCCGGAAATCTTCCCGCAGCGCTGCAAGGAGACCAAATATAAGCCAAACCACAGGGCAAGGCCTCCAGCCCTCCTGCTGCCCCGGCCCGAGAGGCAGAATCTGGCCCGGCGACTCCCCTGGCCTTGAGCCCCGTTTCTCTTTTGGCACATCCGCCTGCTCCTGCCAGTGGGTAGGGCCCTGTGGGGGGAGGGGCACACGGACTCTTCCTTGGACCCGGGCTGGTGGGTGCCCTCACCCACCTGGGATGGCTTCTGCTCCTTGCTGGGATTTGCCCAGGGTTTTGTGAGCATCTGGCTGAAAATCCATGAGCAGCGAATGGAATGTGGCCCTGTCCGTCATGTCTATTCAGCCAGCTGCCCCACAGCCACGCTAGGCACCCTCCAGCCTCCTGCTCTTCCCTGAGCCCGGCTGTCACGGTCCTGTACCAGGTATGGACGGGCTACGGAGCTTCCTGCTGAGTGAGCCCCCCAACTGCATTCAGCATCAGGCCCTCTGGTGCTCCGCCCCATGGCTCAGGGGAGCTGAAACAAGGTATGTTACACACAGTGCCACCAAGTGGCTGAACAGTATAATACAGTTTAGCATGCCATTCCATCTCCCCCTCTAAGTTCTACATACCTACCGTTTACACTAAATAGACGATCATGCTGTCTTTGAACTTCAGTGCCAATCAGTCTGTTAAGTGTCTCTGAATCACACTGGTTTTCTAATTACACGACCCAAACCCGTAACTACGTGGTCATCTGGCTGTCCAGTAGTTACAACAGCTGGCTGTGGTCGGTCTAGAACCCTTGAGTCTTCCTTTTCTTGTTTTGCATCCGCCAGCTGTAGCGTTTGCTCTGTTGTTGATTGTTCTTTCTGAGGAACAAATTGTAGATGTCGATGGTTTCTGTTGAACTCTCCACTGTTGGTCTTGGTCACATATGTTCTGGGCGATGAATTCGTTTTCTTTACAATAGCGCTTTGGCAGTGCAGACACTGTGCCGAACACCTGCAGGGAGGGGCCGGTGCAGCCACCCAGCACTGATACGCAATCAGATCTTCCACACAGGCTATGTTTTGCCTTTTCTTGGGTGAGGCCGGGTAGATCCGTGGCATCCTCCCGTGAACAGAAGGAGTAAAAGACGAGCTTCCCCTTACTTCTCCTTTCCTATGGCTGGATTTTCGTTCCGGGCTCAGAGTCTGGCAGTGCCCAGCTAAGCTGCAGGGGTTTCAGGTGCTCTGTTGCTCACCACAAATAAACAAGAGGAGTGCTGAGTCCCCATCTGAATTTGACTCTCCTTTTCCCACACAAGGTCCACCAGGCAGCCTGGTTTGATCCCATCTGGCAGCTCCTATGTTCCCAAGTGACCGGCTTAGACCATGAGTCCCACAGACCCTCTGGAAGCTGGGTTCAGATCCCCTCATCCATGGACAGGTTCAGATCCCCTCATCCACGGCAGGACCATGCAGCCTTAGCCAAGGGCGCCAGAACCTTTGTAGAAGTGGAGAGCCACCAGCACTGGAACCGGGGGGAGGGGGCCATGCACCCCACTTTTTAACATGGGCATAGTTTGGAGGGCAGAAGGGATGGCGTTGCCCCCCCAAACTACACCCATATGGTTATGGCCCCTGGTTCCCCCCCTGTAGTAAGAAGAGGCCCTAAGATATAAACCTTGGTATCAGAGGCCCGGTATGAGGCCTAAAGCCTGAACTAAAGTAATGGTCAAGACTTTGCTAACATAAAGCAAAGTTAAGCTGTGAGCCAGAGGAAGGCCCTGCTCACACAAGCTGGCAAGGAAAGGGCTGATGCTGCAAGAAGAGACATACCTAAAAGGTACTAAACACTAGATATCAGAACACTCCAATACTTGTACCTTCCACACATAACCAGGAACAAGCTGACCCATCCCAATGACAGGGCCAAAAGGGGAATATAATGGATAGAGTTGTTTTGTTCGAACCAACATGTACAAGGTGAGAGGCGGCACCTTACTACGTGGAGGGGTTGTACCTTACTACGTAGAGGGGTTGTACCTTACTACGTCAGGAGTGATGTGTAACTTGTTTGTATCTGTGTATAAGAATGCATCCTTGAGTGAATATCTTTGTCCGGCCTAGGGGGCAGTGGAAAGTCCCGCCACTGACTGAGCTGAGCCCATTGTCAAGGGAGAACATATGTACTGGCTAGCCGTACCTTAGCAGCACCTTGGACTTCGTTTGCCCGGGAGCTGGAGACTGTGTATCTCTAAAGACAATAAACCTGGCCGACGTGCCTTCGTACCTAACTAGAGTCTGTGGTCATTGGGGGTTCTCTCGGGGTCTGCTGTGTCAGCTCTCTGCGCAGAGCTGGGGCAGCACACAGAGGGAACACACGCACGCAGCCGATTGATATCAACATTG